CAACAGCCCCTCGGAGTCCTCACGGCCGGCGCCTGTCTTCACCCTCGGGGTTCCTCCTGGGCTCCTCCCGTGGGCGACTTCGGGGATTGATTGCTCTCAGCCCCCTGGACCCGGGCCCTGTGCTCACCGTGTGTGCTTCTCGTCTCAGAACGATCACCCTCCCAGCCCCCCCAGCCTGGCCACTTCCCCTCGCCTCCCTGCCCGCCTGGCTCCCAGCCCGTTCCCGCCCCCACCGCCAGCTGCAGGCCTTCTCCTGCCCGTGGCCTCCCTGCCTTCCATCTGCTCGGTCCTTCAGCCTCCACGGGCCTCAGACTGGATTTCCTCGGGCTGGGGGAGGGGGGTCTGCCGTCTGTGTGGGGCACTTACAGATGCATGCTTCATGCGTGCAACCCCGTGTATGGGCACCTGCGTGTGTGTGTGTGCGTGCGTGTGGTTGTGAACCTGAGTGTGTGAAGAGACAGGAGCCAGAGCCTGGGCTGCAGGAGGCTTTATTGATTGAACGGTTGTGGATAAAATCACGCTGGGGAAGTGGCAGTGGGTGGCGTGGCCACGGCGGCTCGTGTAGCTGGTCCTGTGGCTGCTCGTGGCCACGTCCGGGTCCCTCGGCGCCGTGCTCAGCCCAGCACAAGCACCTGCAAGGCAGACACCGGGTGCCCGCCCCGGTGACCAATTACTGGAGAGCCACAGGGAAAACAGGCGCAGGCCACCCTGTGGGGGCCTGTGGGCTCGGCCACTGCAGCTGGGGCCCTCCCAGCCACTGGGGGAGTGGGTTGTGTGGGGGGGTGCTGAGGGCTGCTCCCGGGCAGTGAGCCTGGACATCGCCCTGATGCTGAGGCAGGTTGGGGTGTGTGGGCTGCAGGCGGGGGAGGAGGACGCCCCCCAGCCACGGTACCAGCAGCTTGATCAGCTCTGCCTTGTACGTGGGCTGCAGGCCGTCTATGCAGGACTTGAGCGTGGTCAGCGCCTCCCTGCACGCCGCGTTGACCTCGTACTTGCCCAGGGGCCCGGTGTAGAGCTCCTCCGGGTCCCCCACCAGCAGCGTTTGCAGGAAGTCCATGAAGAACTCGTTGTTGTCCTCGTCCGCGGCCAGCCCTGCACGGTGGGGGGACAGTGCCGCCCGCCCCTCCAGGTCTCCTGCCTCACCTGCCTCAGGTGTCCCCCACGATGACCCTGCCTCACCTGCCCCAGGTGTCCCCCACGATGACCCTGCCTCACCTGCCCCCCGATCTTCCTCCACAACATCCCCGATCCACCCACCTGCGGACGCTGCCCATCACCCTAACCTCAGCTTTCTTCACTCCAAGCTTCTGGGTCCGGGGGTCGGGGTGGAGGGAGGGGGGATTGAGCCCAGACACGGGAACTCCCCCTCCATGTGAGCTTGGCCAGCCTGGGGCTGGGAGGGGAGGGTCAGGCTGGGCTGGGGTGGGTATGGAGTTGGCAGGGGCCCGGGTGGTTGCCCACGTCTGTTCTGTGATGGAGGAGGGGTTGGGGTCCTGGGAAGGTGGGCGCTGTCCACGGTGAGGGCCCAACGCCTGGGTTTCTAGCTTCCTAGCCGCGCCCCCCCCCCCCAGCAGAATGTGCTGAGGCCCCTGGCAGCGGACTCACCGCAGGTGCAGAGCAGGGCGGCGGCCACCAGCAGGAGGGTGCTGCTTCCCTTCATGGCGATGGCAGAGGTGCCCCAGGAGCGGCCTGGCAGGCTTTATGTCTCCCGGCAGGGCACCCGCAGGGGCGGGCCGACCTGTCCATCAGGACCCGGCCAGTGAGAGCCCAGGCGGGAGGCAAGGGTGTGTCCTCCTCCTCAGTCGGTCCTGAGTGGCGTGGACTGGGTGCTGTGCCAGGGTGGGCTGGCAAATGGGCGCGTGGATGGGTGAGGGGGCGAGGGGAGCCTGGCCAGTGAGGGGGGACGGGGGCTGGGGTGCTGGGCCTCTGGCC